GTAGAGTAGCACTTGTTGTTTGTCATTTCTCTGATCACAAATGCAGACAGGGTTTTATGTTTACGCGGCGCGATGCAATTCAACTCGTAAAAAGACAGTATAAGTCATTATAATCAATAATTATGTCCCCACTGGATGCAACAAATGCCTCGTTTGTAATGGGTTTTAATGTTTTTGTCTCGTCGCTCCGGCCGGACACGGCATCAACAGTATGGTGAGGGGCGTAACATTTCCGTCTCGCACTTGAGGTATTCGGCCAATCAGAACGGACTGGATAGCTGGCCAATCAGAGCACACCTCGCTTTTTCAGACCGATGAGCTTTGTAAAAATCGACGCGTTTCAAAAAGGCGGGGCATAGAGGAGAAACAATAATGTACAGTATGTGGAAAATGTGTTTTTTTTAACATGAAACCGCATAAACACATTTCATTACACCAAATACACAAAATAATGTTCTTTTTAGCAGCATCATATGACCCCTTTAAGGCTTTGTTTGTGCTGTTTGCATGACCTGGTTTAATCGCATCTACTGCTCTGATTTACCAATTGAATGCTACATGTACTCAAAAAAGAGCCAAGAAATGAATATGATCTAATTTCGACTAATTGCAACTAGTGATGCTTTTCAAAAGGCAGTTAACTCAACGAACTGTATAACGCCATCCTGACCTGGGGCTCCCTGGTTTCTTTAGAGATGTGATTTTTCCATATACAGATTCCTGTGTTTTCCGACCTGAGAAATATGACCCATGTGAATTGTGTAAATCTGAGAAAAAATGCTGCATTTTAAATGCATTATTTATTAATATTTTTTCAAATGTTTATAATTATTATTAAATACTTTGTTTTTTTTGTTTGAATAATAGAATAATAATACATGAAGTATTAAGTAGTAACAACAACAATAATATTAATAATAATAACTATTATTATTATTTTAATTATTGCTATTATTGTCTAGTCATATTGAATGGGGCTTAAATGCTTGCTTTGTTTGCAGGTACAGCAGATTTCAAACCAGGCTACTGGGTTGGTGTGAAATATGATGAGCCGCTTGGGAAGAATGATGGCAGGTCAGTGCACGCACAAGTTATTTATGTTTATGAATAAGACCAGCATGTCTCTGAAAATGACTAATGTGACCCTTCCATGAACCTTATGAGAAAGTCTAACTGATGCATTACGTTTGTCTTGATTTAGTGTGAATGGGAAACGTTACTTTGAGTGTGAGCCAAAATACGGCACCTTCGTGAAGCCCCTCTCAGTAATTGTGGGAGACTTCCCTGAAGAGGACTATGGTTTGGATGAGATGTAAGACAGTCCGAAGCATCAGAAGAAAGATCTTCTTTCTTCCAGAAGTTTGGCTCCATGCAGTGAGACATTGCTGCGGTAGAAGTTTTTTTGTTGTCAGTGCAGATCATTTTGTTTTATGCTGGTCTGGAAGAGATCAGCGAAAATTGTACCTTAATTTCCTGCAGTCAAAGTTAAGGAATGATCTTAAACAACATCTGTGCCCTGGTGACTAGAAGTAACTAGTAAGGTAAATGTGAGAACACCAGCCGAGGTCAGAGTAAAGAAAAGCATTCGCTTGCATGTTGATTGTTCATTAATGAATTCCAAAGTTCTGCAGCTAATTTGAGCCCAGACCGAATAATTTTACTTTAAACAAAACCAACCAACCACAACAGAAAATGTATTTCACGTTTTTGCAATAGTGTACACACTGTATTGTATAAATGTATTATTTGTACTAATGAATTCCTCCTTTTCTGCAGCCTATTACATTCTTATGCATCAATATGACCGTGTTTAGGGTCTCAGTCCCTCATTCCCTTTGGCACTTTAGCGATTAGCTCACTAATGAGACATGTAATGTAGAATTCCGTGGCCTCAGCTTTCCATGGTTCTGTATTTTCAGTGTAAATTACAAAAATGTGAAGAAGTCTTGCTTTTTTTGTGAAAATTGGCTGTAACACTGATGTAGCCTAGTACAGCCCAAAAACCTTGATCGCTCACAAGTAATAATAAACATTTGGTTTTGGTGCACAGCAACTGATATGATTCACATGAATGCCATAATTATATTATAGTAGCTTTAACAAAACAATGTAGTGTAAAAGTAGAAATGTTGGACACTTGACTAGGGCCAGGCACAAACACTGATGTTGGAGATAGACATGCATCTCTTTCTCCCTTTACTCCATGCTTACATTAAGAGGCCATAAATTTGAAAAGACAGTGATGTATTTTTGTTTTTGACACTTTGTGATGCTTTTAAAAACTTAAAGCCTCAGTCACCATTTGCAAAGAAAGTACAACTGAATTTATCATTTATCAAATACATGTGGCCATGGGATGTCTGGCTCAGTTGAACGTGCCTGAGGGGATTTAGGAAATGTATTGCGATTTTCCCCTCCAGACTGTGATGCTTTGCAAAAATAAAAAGAGTTTCAAATCACTTGGTTGGACATCATTACTTCCAGAACTTAAAAAAAGCATCAACTCGATAATAATGTTGCATCAGACATGCAGCGCAGCTCCAGCTTTAGAACACACACACACACACACACCGACAGATGTGCCGACTAAACCACTAGTAAAGACCGCCTACAGTTTCAGTCGCTGTTGATGTCAGCCAGTTGTGCTGGTGTTTATTAAAAGTGGACATTAAAAGTCTAACTGAATTTAAGAATGACTTCTAACGCGTTACTCTGAATGGCACCTGAAGCGGTTTTAAGTCGTCGATAATGAGGACAGACTCAACACTGAGCTTTTTTCCGTCCGTCATGACTGTCGTTCAGTTTGGGACTGTAGTAGGACTTTAGTTTTTCGAAAAGAAAATGAACCGCTGTTTGTGTTTCATCTTAATTAATTCCTGTCTGCTTTTGTCATCGGGTAAGTGTTTCTCAGTTGTTTGTTTATATCATAAGAACTCTGGAAAACGCGTTGTATAACGGAACTTGCGAAAGCTTCCATTGTGTATACGTGTACACAGTTTGGAACATTTCGGTTCTGTCTCAAAACTGAGTAAGCTACCTACCTAGATAGCAGGCTCCGAAATGAAGCAGGGCTTATGGCAAAGATGCCAAATTAGTCAGTTTTTTAGTGGTGCCTGCTAAGCAAAACATCACTATTGCTCATTACTATTCTTATTAGTCGTTCGGGTACTTCCCACAGATAGTGAGGAGAAGCTGGACGGCTGTAAAAGGGTCAGAGATGGGTACGTTAGTTTCTTTAATAAGCAGCCATTCAGAAACAGCCTATTTACTGCCTTTAAACGCCCTAGAAACAAGCCAGAGGACCCTAGCAACCATATAGCAACAGGCCCCAGTCATACCTCGGCACCTCGTTTTTGTTGCCTAACATCAAGGGCTCCACTATGGTTTCTGGGCCCCCTGAACATTGACTGGGGCCCCTTCAAATCGCGTGTTACACACAATCTCTACCTGATAAAATATGGACCACATGGATCACGTTTTCTCAGACGCGCAAGTCGTCATAATTAGGTAAACTTCTATAGTGGTGAACGGAAACTACAACAAAAATAATTGTTGTATTCCCGTTTGCTCCAGTAGCAAAATCCATGATAACATTCCTCATGTGACATAAGTGAGGAAGTGTCAAGTCTGAGAAAACGGTCAATTTTAAAGCTTGGCAAAAAAAAAGTATTTTTATTTTATAAATGCCATGGAGTTCTTATTAATTAACTTTTCTAAAGGTCTACAAATCACACTTTTAAAATTAGGCTCCCTCGTATATCCAGATTTTTCAAGACCTTGGACACCCTGGTTCTTCTTCTTCTTCTTCTTCTTCTTCTTCTTCTTCTTCTAAATAAATGAATAAATAAATCTTGATTTATAGTTGTTTGGCCTTATTTTAATGCTTGTTTTTTTCTTATGTTAAATATTTTTTAAGTTATCTTGAGGCTGTCATGGAACTTTGCTGAGGCCCTCTGTTGGGCCCTGGCCCCCATTTCAAGTAGAGCATACTTGAACTCGCTGTATTTTCAGTGTGTGTGTGTGTGTGTGTGTGTGTGTGTGTGTTTTTCTAGTCTAGTTGTACTACAGGACATGATATGATGAGTTTGATGCGGCATCTATAGTGTATAAAATAACACATGTAAAAATCTTTTTAAAGAAATATGGGAGACATTATTAGATTATTTTTTGGTTACAGTTCAGGGACATTTTTGGTATGTTTGTTTTATAGTATTGTTGAAAGATGGTTTCATGTATGGTTGCAAAAATGATCCAATAAAGTTATTTAGTCTAATGGTGTGGCCTGCATATTTTACTGTGTAAAGTGTTTTTTTCTCAGACACAATTACACTGAAAGTGTAATTCTTCGCTCATGATGAGTATCTGATTAAAGACATTATCTACCAAAGTATATACTTTATTCCAGGCCCTGGTTGAGAGCAACTAGTCTAGGTAGATGGTTCACTGCTTACTGTTTTTGAGACAATCTACATAAACAATTTACGAGTTATTCTCAAGTAGTGCAGTCAAATGAATCTCTTAACTCACACCATACTCAAAGGTTTCCATGAAAACACAGATTGCAGCATTCACAATGTTTTGGACCAGATGTATGCTATTGCAGCAGTATCTTACACAACATTATAAAAGTACTCTGCTAGTGGCTTTTATTGTAATTTCTGTAATATAAGAACAAATAAACTGCTTTTCTGCTGATCTGGATTTTCTGTATGCAGACAGGAGAGCTGTCCAGGCTCATTCAGCTGAAGGAGAGACTTCAGTGACTAGATCAAACATGTCCAACTATTCAACTTTACTGCCCAAAGCTGAACATATCACCCCAAGTGAGCCGTCTGTGAACACTGTGCACATCTCAACAGAGAGCAAACACCTGATTTCTGCATCTACAGGTACAGCATGATTTCCTGATTTGTTGCAATACTTTTGATCAGTTGATTACATTGGTTTCACCAGCAGCATCAGCATTTCTACAGTCAAAATGTGAAACTACCATTTTCTTTGGATGGATAAAACAGGTGTTCCTCCTAGTATCCCAACAGCAGGTCCTCGGTTCCATGCAGGTAGTTTCATTGGCGGTATGATGCTTGCCTTTATTATCATACTGGTCGTCACTCTGGGCTACAGGTTGGCCTGCTCACAACGGGAAGTGCGCTACAGAGTCATGTGAGTATCATCAGAGTGCTTGTTTTTTAATTTTTTTTGGCAGTATTTTTACATTTAAATAATAAAAAAAAAAAAACATGTGGATCCAGATATGTGATGAGTTTTTGAACCATGTACCTATTTCTCATCCACTTTTTCAGCAGCCTTTGTTCCGGAAGTATTTTTTTCAATTAATTTTTCCCATAGGGATTTTAAAAATGTTTTTGTTATAAGAGTTATAAGCCATGAACCAAACCAACCAGCTACAAGGTGAATCATAACATGATAAAACTTTTATTTTAATGTAAAAATAAAACTGTCTACTTAACGGCTTTAATGAGGGAAAGAACTTCAATTCCATGAAGCAATGACAATTGAATAAAAATGATGGAGAAATATAACACTATTTATCTATGAAAATAGATAAAAAAATTGTGTTATATTTCTCCATCAAATTCAGTGTTTAACAGCTGAATTTGTGGTGAAAACTACACTACCCATAATGTTGTACAGAAAAGTCCTGGCATATAATATATTCACTATATATTCATATATTTACACCTCATAGCACACAGTAGGTCCTCGTCCCATTCGTCGATATTTGTGATATCACAAATCCCGGAAAATATGCATTGTAGTCCAAACGAGTCGTTCGTTGTAGTTTTTGAAAAGTACGTTCGTTGTATTTTCTGTTCAATAAAATATCTCCTTTTGAAGTGGACTTTGAGCTTTGTAACTTTGCAGATCTTTTTTATGCTCGAACAGCAACATTACAGACTAAAGTTGAAAACGTGAAAAAGCATAATAGGACCCCTTTAATGGTTTATAAGGCATTGTTAAAAATGAATTTCCCTATGGAGAAAATGATCGGCGTTTTTACTTCCGGAACCAGACTGTAGCACTCTGTTATGTATAATCCCATGTTTTATATATGTTCGTATGTAAATGTAACACAGCTAATATTTATTTCATGTCCTGCAGTGAGGAACATGATGCCATCATTTAAAATGGAGCCGCTGAGGAAATACAGGCTAAAACACAAGCTAGTCATAATCTGAAGAGAACATTTTCATCATAATGTGGTTAATATGCATATGAGACCGTCTGGTTTGATACATTTTATATTGTAATCTTAAATAGCTTATTCCCTAGCAGTTTTTACATTTTAAGTAGTGAATACTTGAACAATGTAACTTATTTTTTGTGTGTGTGTGTGCCTGTGTCTACACCAGTGTAGTCCAATTTGTATTACAGAACATTTTAATGAGTTTGTACTTGATTAAACTAGACTAAACATCTATTGTGTTTAAAATATGCACCTGTAAAAGTCTCCTTAAACACATATCGGAGACAAATTAATTGGTTACAGTTCAGGGACTTTTTTTTCTTTTGAAGTTAATGGTATTTTTGTATAAAAGTTAATGGGTAATCCTTTACAATAAGGTTCCATAAGGTAATGTTAGTTAATGTATAAACTAACATGAACAAACAATGAACAATACCTTTATTACAGTATTTATTCATCTTTATTAATGTTAATGAAAATATAGTTGTTCATTGTTAGTTCATGTTAATTCACAGTGTGTTAACTAATGTTAATAAGTTTTTAATAATGCATTATTAAATGTTTAAATTAACATTAACATTAATAAATGCTGTAAAAGTACTGTTCATGCTTAGTTCATTTGAACTAAAGTAGTTAACTAATGAACCTTATTGTAAAGTGTTACCAGTTCATGGTATATGTTTTTTGAAAAGTGTTGATATTGGTTTCATGTAGTGATCCAATAAAGTGATTTAGCCTGTGCAGAGTCTGTGGACTGCATATGTAGTGTAAAACATTTTCCTCAGACACAATTTACAATTAATCTCTAATAATACTCTGCTCATAACGCATAAAATGTTGGATTAAACGGATTAAACACAGCATCTACCAAAGTATATACTTTATTCCAGGCCAATTTTAAAGTAATATGTAAAGAGATATAATGTAACAGAACTTAAGGTTCTAAGGTACATGCACATACACTGATTTAAAAAAAAAAAAAAAAAAGAGATCATAATGGATATAAATTCATTCTGGGTGCATTTAAAAGAAATCTAAATACCAATCCATTAACTTGTGTGATTAGTACTACCACTACAAAAAAAAATAAAGTAAACAGTTAATATATATTCTGAACAGTTGCACACTAAGCAAGCATAAAATCATGTTTAAGTGACATACACATTTTAGTCAATGTTCTATAAACGTGCAATACCATCACTGTACCCACAATTCATAAAACATTTTGTTGCAATGCTCTCTCCAACACTGTTTTACCCCACTAGAGTCTGCCATCAATACTATGTTTGCAAAAATAGATATTTCTCTTAGCTTGTCTTTTTGTTTTCCACACCACTTTTATTTTCTCTAGAACCTCTAACTTTCATTACAATGGCATAGCTTGCTGTTTTTGACCATAGATTTGACCATACCATTTTTGTTTACTGAGGCAACTGAGTTATAAATCTTAGCAGTATATTCACCCCAACAGACCACAGAATATTATACTGATAAAACTTCACCTTAAAAAAAAAAAAAAATCAGTACAACACACATTTAGTGTAAGGGCCAATTATTGAGCTATAATCATGTAGTGTAAAGGTAACCATATTGTAAACAAGAGGTAATATTCATATTACTGAATTACTACTGAATGCAAAGCATCTGAAGCAAATTTGTAATGGGCAAGTCCCTGTAGTGTTCTACTCTAGTGAAATAATGTAAACCTAGGTAACCTGCCTACTGTGTCTTCAGGAACCAGCATAAGAGGACCTGTCAAATCTGGCTTCATTAGAGATCTCCTCACAAATCAATTAGACCTTTTCTCATTAGCTTATGTCTTACGTGAACATAAAAGTATGATACATTATTGTTTGTCGTCCATTAAAAGAATCATTACTAAAAGTCTTTGGAAGCCTCAAAGAAATCCTGACAGAAACAATAACTGATTGTTTCCATAGAAGTCTACTCTATTATTCATATCCGCAGTTACCAAATTCAAATCCAAGCTAACAGCTAATCTACAGCACTAACCCTCAAGACATGCTCATCTACCCATCTAAACGTATCAGAACCTTCCTTTTCCTGCCCGATATCCATCTCGGCACCAAACATCAACATAACTGGCTCAGACTCTACTGGAGCTCATATCAGAGATGTCTGTCTATTGATCAAAGTGCCGCTGATATTTTAGTTCCTTGCTTTTGGATGAAAAAAAAAACAATCACATGAGATTTGCACTAAAATATGCAAGTAAGCAACAACATATCAACTGAGATACTAAAATCGTAAGATAAAAATAGATATCGGTAACAAAACCAAACGATCCCCCCTCAGATTGATTATGATGCAGCAGAAATGATACCGTCCATCTAGTTAGTGTTCTTTGTGAATCAGTTACTGTAATCATGTACTGTAAGGCAGCTCTTAGAATAGTTGTTCTGTACACATCTGTTAAAATGAGAGCAAAAACAGATCCGATTTGTTCTTTGAATCACACATGAATGCCATAACCCTCAAGAAACAAAATCAGGCTTAAATAAAACTAACACACAAAGAGACTAGGGTTCTTTAAAGAGAAAAGAAAAAAAAAAATCAAACCCTAATTCCCAACATAATATTTTTTATAAACCCTTTGAAAGAAATATACTTTGATTAATGAAGCAAGAAAGTAAAAGCAAGCATCAAATTTGATCTATGATCTCTAGTGTAAAAACGACAGGAACATGTTTCAATTTTTTTGTCTGAAGGCACTTGATTATACAGTTTCTAGTGTGATATGCTGGCACAGCCAAGCAGCAGTATTTATTCAACCAAAGCCACACAATTGAAACCCTTACGATTTAGACCTTTCAATCACAATCCTATCGGAAAACATGTACAGACGACCTCCTCATCGCTTTTTGGTTTCTCAGGCTCATTACTGTGAGGAAAAAATAGTCAATTGTAGGCGAGCTGAGATCAAGGATGCTCTGAGATGGGATCTGCAGTCACAGGAGGTTGCGGTAGGTTGATTTAGGGGTTCGTCTGTCTTTATTTCTCTCTCTTGGGGAACACCTGAGCCCTCTTGGCCCTGTCCGCCCAGCAAGGAGTTTTCATGAGGGGAGAAACGACATTTCGCGCACACAACTTCACATTCGCATACTTGCACGCTGATGGACTGCCAGTACAGCCGTGAAAGAGATTTGGGTACTTGTGAATACTTGTCTGTTCATGGGCCAGCCTTGAGGATGCAGACATGAAAAAGACATACGGAAAACAAAAAGAAGCACAAAAGGACCAAAGGTTAAAATACCTCAGCTTTTAAAACCAATTCGGCCAAACGTAGTGAATAGAAGATAAAGAAAAACAAAAATAAAACGGTCCAGTAGGGAGAAATGTCTTTTGTTTTCTCAACTCAAAGCATCTACACATCCTTCACAGATTGGATTAGGCAGCAGTTCAGCATGTTGGAAGAGAAGGCGTAGTGCTGGATTCAGGTGCTCTATAGCCAGGTTAGAAAGTTCTCCTTGTCGATCTTGGTAGCTGCCAGCACAGACTCCATGTCGTTGAGGATGTCGGAGCTCAGGGCTTCCTGCAGGCTGGGCATCAGCTCCTCGCCCTCCACTGCCATGCTCTCCCCCTCCAGGGTGCCCAGGTCCACATCTGTGCCCGGGATCGCGTCTAGGTAGTCGGGGAAACGGCTGGGCTGTGTTGCCATGGAGCTGGGGCCGAGGGTATCGCCTGACAGCGAGACGGTTTGTTTTGAAATGTGCTGTTATCATGCGTGTGGTTACATTTTGAGTATTTGGGTTGTGGCGTACCTGTCTCCATCTCGTCCACACTGTTGAGGAAGTCGTCTGGAGTGCGGGGGACGCTGTAACTGCTCATGCTCAGGCCACTGTCTGTGCTCTCATCTCTGGAGTGATATGTCCCACTGCACAGAAAAACACCAGGCCACAATTGCTTAGACAAATCTAAATTGTGTACATATGTAAACTGTACACTTACACTACACGTGTCCAAAAGTTTGGGATCAGCGAGATTTTTTTTTAAAGAAATTAATACTTTTATTCAGCAAGGATGCATTAAATTGTTTAAAAGAGGCATTAAAATAAATTTTTAAATGTTACAAAAGATTTTTAAAGGAGTGGTTCATTGCGATTTCCCTTTTTTAACGTCTTCCCAGGTCCGTTACGTCACGAACCCAGATAAACCCCGCCTCAGAGAACACGCAGCAAAGGGGGCGAGGCCATGCTGCACTGCTTTAGAGAAGAGGAAGAGAAAACTAGAGGTGCACGTAAAAATCTTTTCATATATGAATCGCGATTCTGTTTTCTAACGATTCTAATGGATTCACAAGTTTCAAAATCAATGTTCTAAAGCAGCGGTTCTTAATACTGTTCCACACGTCCCCTTCTCTGCACACGCTCTGCATCTCTCCCTCTCTCGCTCTCTCTCTCTCATTCAGCTCAGCTCCAACAATGAACTTATTGAACAAATTGGAATGTTCCAATTATACACTTATTTTCACATAGCTATGAGAAGCATTAAACATGGACGCGCATGCGGTTGCTGTACTGTATTAAAGCTTTAATCAGGATAAAACCGTATATTAAAAGCTAACAGAAGCAGTAGCATTTACAAATAACAGCATATCTAAAAGTATGATACAGCAACAAACAAAAAACATAGGCCTACCATTAAAAGCCGTGCTTGCACAGGTTCTGCACAATCCTCTTCAATAATATCCTCTGCTTCTCAATCGGGCTCAAACTGATAAGCGATATTAACGACGCCATTGTTTACAATACAACCGGAGCACATGCCGCTGAGGTGAGGGGCGGGACGTTTAGACACGCACTAGAGGTGGTTTAGCCAATCACAACACACTGGGCTAGCTAACCAATCAGAGCCCATCGCCTATTTCTGAGGGAGTGGCTTCATAAAAGAAGGAAATGATCAGGGTGTTTCTCAAAGAAGGGACAGAGCGGTGTGGAATAAAGCTAAATTATGTGAAAAATAATGCGTTTTTTTTTTTTTTAAACGAAGCATTAACACATGTTAGACTGCACTCCATAAACACAATTAAGCCTAGAAAAAAAACAGTGAACCACCCCTTTTAATTCAAATGAATGCTGAACTTTATATCCATTAAAGAAACTTGGGAAAAAATATCTGCAATAAGCAGCACAACTGTTTTCAAAACAGATAATAATCAGAAATGTTTCTTGAGCACCAAATCAGTATTTTAGAATGATTTCTGAAGGATCATGTGACACTGAAGACTTTATTTTTTTTAATTTATATTACTGTTTTTTTTTTTTTTTTTACTGTTTTTGATCA